ACCTGTCATAGCATTCTGTGTAAATTACTACCTCTCTCAGGACCTGTATCTACAGCCAATCTTCTTTTACTCTTTTTTTCCCTTTTTTTTTTAAAAAAAAGGGAAAAAAAATAAAAAAAAAAACAACAAAAAAAAAAACCCGGAAACCAAATGACTACTGTAGACACTCTTAAGTTCCCTGTCAATCGTTTCATTATAGCAGCATCATCTGTTTGAAAATATAAGCAATTCCCTCATCTAATTATAGGGAGGATTTGAGGTTCATTAACATTGCCAAAGCAGAGAATCAGATGTGCAACTGCAGAGCTGTGCTCAGTGGCCTGCATTCTCTGTTTCCTTTTATTTGCTTTTTCAAGGTCTCCAAGACTTTTTCCTGAAACCATAAAAGTAATTCTTTCCTTCAAAATAGACAAGTGTGTTTAGAAAAAGGAAATGACTGCATTTTGTACTGTTCTATTATTGGGCAAGGTCACTGGAGAAACATAATTTCACCTAAATCATTTTATCTTTGATTCTGGATGGAAAAAAAAAAAAAAAAAAAAAAAAAAAAAGAATAATAGTATGCAAGCAACCATTACTTTTGAACAACACATCACAGGAAACCTTGTATTTGTCTCACAATTTTAAATACTGCAAGGTAATGCGGATGAATAGGAAACCTAACATGCCAAGAAAACCTCTTAATTTTCAACACATTTTGTGGTTGTTTCTGGATTAACGTGCTAGCCAAGTGTAAAATGTTGCCTTGTATTTCCTAACTGTGTTTAGAAACTGAGAACACCAAAGTCTTCATGATTGCTTCACTTCCTTAAAGAAATAATAGCACGTTTTTTTCTGTATGAATGCAGTTTAAACAATGACATTTTCTTGGGACATCTGTTTTGAGATCACATTTTGAATAGATATGAACTCATTTCCTACTAAGCAAGTAATTTACTATTGTTGATAGTTGTTTACAAGTTTTATGAGTCAGATTTTAGCAAGTGGCAAAGGTCTTTACAAATCCTTTGAGTAGTCCCTGAAATGTATACATAGTGTTTTCATTACATACAATGTTCGGGAAGCAAAAGTATACAGACTGTTCTTCACTTCCTACCAAGTTATAGATAGCAAAGTCTAGTTCACAGAAATAGCTTTAAACATCTTTATTGTCAAAGGCTTCTATCTTATGCTGATGCGGGTTAATGAAGTATGATAGCAGGGCACTAGGCACTTAAGCAGAAAGGAAATAATTGAGCTGCTCTACCTATCTATAACTTTGGAGTATTAGATGGTAAATATACAACTGATCCTAATATCATCAGAAGATGCTAATATGACAAAGAGCAGAACCTCTTCAATGAAATTTAAAGTTTGACCTTGTCACTCTTTCTTGTAATTCTGCAATAAAATAAATAAATACAAAAAAAAATACCAATACACAGCTTAATCTTTTTTTGTTTGCTGCCATATGGAATTAATTTTGTAAACAAAAAAACAATAATTTATCTATCCTCTGTGTTGCATGTAGAATTGCCACTAAAAAGAACCCAGGACATTTTTCCTTCTTATCTGCAATGTAGCTCATATCAGCCAACCTGTCACAAGACAGTACTTGATATAAACAAGAGATTGCAAAGACATCTCAGTAATCAATATTAGGATGGCTACAGTATGGAAGCCCCAACCAGTGCATATCATTTGTCTCAGCATCTATTTCTATGACCAAATGAAGCATTAATTCAAATCATAAATCTATGGTGATTTAAATCTGGGAATGAGCACCTGCCTGCTTTAATGATTTATTTTGTACATTTCAGTAAGCAGGAGATTTGTCCATATGAACTGACAGGTCACCTTCAGATGCCAGTAGCAGACTGTTTATCACCATGCAGACTAGCATCTCATCTTAGCAAGTAAATATTAAACTAAAAGAATCCAATTGATTGTGGATGGGAGAGAAAGGCGTTGCAGACATATATTTTACTCAGTGTGCTAATACCTCACTCTGATTCCTCTGTAATTTTTTTTTTTTTCCCTTTTTTTCCCCCTTCTAACATGATAATTCTGGTGGGAGGATGCAAGCTCAAGGTTACCATACAAAACTGAGGGATATAAAATAATTACTTATTAGTATCATTGGCTTCCTTTAATTCCCTTCACTCACTAACCTTTTGGTCATTGCTTCAAAGGACCAAGCTAATAAATTTGTGTAGTGCTCTGTATAATTACACAATGTACATCTACAAAAATTACTTCTATAATTCACATTAAGCATCTGATTAAAACCAAAAAGCAAGACAATTCAGAACTAAACCTGACAATTCAACTCAAGAGCCCATATTCTATTTATCTTTTTTACATAGGCATTGGAACAGCCTAAGAACACGGTATGATCATTCCATGTACACTAATATACCATAATGCCTGTTAACATATGGGCTAAGATGTATCATTTAAGCTTTTAGCCTGGTTGGTTAGTTTGTTCCTTTTCAGTTTGGTCAGGCACATAACATAATTTAAAATATAAACCAAAATCAGGTTATTTCCTTTTGCTTTCTTTCTTCTTCCTGTCAACACTCAGTAGAGTAATATTTCAAATTCATTCCTAACAAGCCATAATTTAAAACATTAATGATATATGGACTTGATAATATTTATTTGAAAAGACATAAATAAACATTTGAAAAAAAAAGCAGGGGAAGAAAAAAGCACACACCTTCTACAAAGCAACACCTTTGAAATACGAGTTCTTGTCAAGATAATACAATATGCTAATTTTCAAAAATGAAACTGATAGAGACTTAACTATTAATGAACCTAATAATACTCGGGCATTAGTAGCAGTAGGAATCACCTCTGTGATGTGATTCCATAGGCATAACCAACATTCGATACTAGACAGGGCTCACTATAAAATAAACAAATAAATGCAAACTATTTTGATAAAACCTCCATAGGAAGAGTATATCTCAAGACTGGATGCATAGACAAGCATATTGCATTTCCAGAACCATCCCTCCTGGAATGGTGACAACTCGAATGCTATTCACTCTACTCAGAAAAGCCATTTTTTTTCTGAACAAAATGAACTCAATTCTTCATTCAGTTAAATCGAGAAATTAACTGAAATTAACAAGTAAGTTAAGGGGCTGAGAGAAAATTTTGACAATGACAATAAATAATTTTCTTCACTAACTTTGACCTTCTAAAAAAGCTAGAACGTATTTTCTTAAACAGGGAAAATGATTAAGCTGTGTAAGAGCAGATTAGTTATCTAAATTATGCCTCAAACAATGATTTCAAAATAGATTTTTTCTCTTTTTTATTCAGAAGAAATTCAAATATTCTCTCCATCCACTCTCCTACAAACACTTCATGTGCTTCAAATACTTCATGTGTTTTACATGTTGATTACCTGTTACCTTTCCATTTCCGTGGATGTACGAGTGGTTTGTCACTAGAACTGCCAAGCAGAATAACAGTTCCATAATCCAATATGTGAACACTCTGTTTCACATAAGGCATTCATCAATTCCAGTTTGAAATTAAAATCTGAACTAGCTTCTACCTTCTAGTACAGACTCTTTACCCTCCCAGTTTGCATTTACACTTTTCACTCGTTCTCATTACTTCACTTTTTTTTCCAGCATGTTAGAGGACATCTGGCCCTTCCACTTAATTTGTACCTAACTCCTCCTCCCAGATTTCAGAGACAACTGCTCTCTACCCCTTCTTGTCTTCTCTCCAAGAGGACAATATTTCCACTAATATTCTAGTGACTACACTTATTGGTATCTGAGTACTAACACACTCATTTGAGACTCTTTTCTTTGCCATCACAGAGGCATTTTTTTTAAGCCTTTGTTTAAAAGGAAAACAAAAAATCTGGTCATCTCCTTGTGCAGCAATGCATATATATTGTTGTTATTTAAAATAGCGTGTGCCTAGGTGAACCAGTTTCTTGAATGGCAATTCACATTATTTCTAAATAATAGCCTACCAATACCTACTGAACTGTACAGAAATGCTGCTCACAAACACATAGTTATTTATGTTAAGGTTAGTAGGTAACTCTCAAGACCTATTTCAAATGTATTTAGGAGATGGGAAACTAACAAATAAACAAAACTACAGCAAAGATCCAAAATAAAAACAAACATAAAATCCCTATTTTAAGCCATTTTATTCCAATATACACCAATCTTGCCTGCAGTCTTCTGAACGTACCTCTTTGTCATTGAATTTCTGTTGCTGAGTTAATACTGTCTCAACATGATAAAAGGAGCCAATACAATGAAATGGCATAACAAAACATTTTACAGCAGACACACACAGATGATTAAAGATTTAATCAACAACAACAAAAACTTATTCTAGCTTTGAAGTATGCTTTAGCAAAACAAATCGTCCAAACAAATGAATAAAGTATACTGAAACAATTGTTTCTTGAGAAAGAACAAGAGTTGCTGATGGCTGCTTAAGAAATGGAAAAACGTGTTAACTACATTTTAAGAATGTGTTTATTAAAATAAAATATGATAGGAACTGCAGAGCATGGCAATAATTTATTGTGTATGTATGTTTTGCTTTTGTCACAGGGCACATGAAAGTATGAAATATTTTGCTTTCAAGCTTGTGTTCTGAATTACCTAAAGTCGATACCCAGCACACTGAGCAGGAGACATTGTTAAATTTCACTTTGACACCATCATCTGTCACCCCACCTGTACTTTGAAAAATGAACTCTAAGCAATCAAACCACTTTCATGGAAAATATTAACTGGAGTCTGCAAAAGTAACCTGCAAAGGAAAGAATGTTTTTATAATAGTAACAATAATGCTGAACAATGGTGTAAAGGGCAGATATGAAATAAAATTAAAAACAGTAAGAAAAGGAAAACGAATATGTAACTTTTTACACCAAATCAAGGACTTCAGAAGGAAGTCTAGAAGGATCACCATTTTAATAAAATATTGGAGAATTATGGACATATAATAATGCTTTGTCTGAGACTTACCCACACTTGAATTCAGATCTCCATTTTCAGAGTCTGCTCCATGCTGGTTACTATTTGCATGATAGTTGGACATAGCTTCCAATTTAATTTTTTTCACTTTCATTGCTTCTGCTATGGCGGCATTGGTGGCAGCTGCTGCTGCTGCAGCTGCTGCTGTCAGGCCTGCAAAGAAGTATGAACAAAATTTAATATACATTATTATATGATTCTTCATTATTTTAGGGACTAAGACTGTTATTTTTCCTGTATGCTTGCTACATAATGAACAGAGAACATTGCAGAATATTATTCCTCTTGCTAGATTTGAAAGCTCTAAACTTTTTCAAGTAAAATATTTCGCATCATATTTAGCTAGTTAGTTCTCTATACCCACCTAATTCTTAACTTGGTATCCAGTAACTGCAGTCATAATACAATCATAACTAACTCCAGCTACAAATACATGCTTTCAGGGATCTAACTTAGCTTCGAAGTTGTGTCTTAAGTGCCTGGCTATGAATAGGTGAACCTGTACATAACTGTACTTGTAAAAAACCCTTTTAGATTTCAAATGTTTTACATGATAAAGAAAACAGAAAAAAACAGATCTGTAATTTCTATTCATGAGTAACAGATGAAAAGAACTCAGACGTTTATTTCTCATTTCACACATAACAGCAAGGAGATGTGGTCATTTTAGGAAGTGTTTTTAGAAGAAAGGTTAGCAATGCAGAACACTGATAAAATACTTATTTTGCTTTCCCCAAACTTCAAGGCATTAAGGTATTTATCAATGAGAAAAGAAATTACTAAACTGATTTAATCCCAGTCCCAAAGCCACTTTCAGGAAATCCAAGTGCTCTTCCTACCAAACCAAACTTCTGTCATCCAGCCATTTATAAGAATATTCTACAAAAATGAGAAAATTTCTCTTTGTCAAAAGCAATTAGAGAAACAGTCTAATAATGCCTTCAAAACAGAAAATTAGATACAGCCTTTAATCAAAGTTATCAGCATATGTTTTTGCCCTCTTCCCTGAGGCAGGATAATTCTGCAGTCCCCAAACCATGTTGCTACTACCCACTCAGATCCCTTTGCCCCAGCCTGGGTGGCAGCAGACAGAAGTCAGTGTCAAAACTTCACAAGAGCTGCCTACCCCACATGATTGATCCAAGGGGCAGAGATGGAAATTAAAGAGACTTAAAAGTAAGAAATTAAAGAGAAGGCTTTAAACCAAGTAAATTTTATGCAATTATGCAATCTCAGCCCTCAGCCTGTGATGCCACAAGAGGAGAGCAGACTCTCAGTCATTTTGAATCAAGATTCTTACCCTGACCATGGAGAAGGCTTGAAAAAACTCAGTGTAATTAGTTTAAAGGTGCCTGCTTGTCTGATTTTCAGCTATTCTGAGAGGTGTGAAGTGTTTTATGGATCTCAAGAGGAATTAACTCTACAACTTACTATTCTAGTGGGCCAAGGCTGCTGCCTGGCATAGGAGGAGTGCAATTTAGCAGGAAAGACCAAATAAGCAAATAATCCCAGGCTGTCGAGGTAAATATTGCTATCACCATTGCTTCCAGGGGCCTCTTGTCTCCTTTTCCTCCTTAAATAGAAAATTAATTGACTCATGCCATGTTTTTAGCTAGCAATGGGGAGGCACAGAAGAAAAAATCCAGGGGGGAGAAGGCAGAAGGTGAACGGACATCAGGAAAACAATGAGGTGGCATAAGAGGTGCCTTTGAATATATTGGGGCTTGACTCAAGATTGCTTTCCCTTAATTCTTTGCATGACCACATAGAGATTAGCAAATAGTTCCAGACTCCCAACCCTCCTTACAGACTGACTTCTAACAACTCCAATTGCAACCTGAATTTCCAAGTATGTGATAATTACATTCTGCATAGGCAAATCGATATTATTTAGAAAACTGCTATTTCCAGTAGAAAAAGATGTATCAAATACCAAAAATCAAATCAGGTGGATAAATACAAGGGTTTCATTTTATTTTAGCTTCCACTACTATTACAAATTGTGCATGTTCTGATCTGAAGAAGGTATTGACAATAACATGGATTGCTTCCAATGATATTTTTACCTTAGAGGAAGGATATGAAGTTATACATTATACAGATTTGGTTACAGTCCCTAAATTAGGCCACAGAAAAAGGGATGGTGCACCTCTGAACTTCGGTTTGCATCCTGTGTTCATTAAAAAATACAATAACCTATACTTCCTTTTTTTATATACATCACTGACAAGCTAAAACTAACATCTTTAAAGAACAATCCTTCAGAGAAATATTCAAATACAATATAACCAATGAATACAACAGCAGGCCTCAAACTTTTGGCTGTGACTGAACTTCCAGATCAGCAGTTTTTAAGTGCTTACAAGTACTAGAGCAAGTACCTTATTAAACAGACACTGGACATAGGACTTGCAAGCTCACTTGTAAATATTATGTCTCACTGGGGTGATGATCCACTGCAGAACTGCTAAAATACAAACACTCTTTTGCTACAAAATTTGCAAAAAAAAGTATGCTTTGGTGCTTCTCTCCAAAGTAGGCTGTAATGCTTCTTTCTAGTGGAAGCCATAACCTTTGGATAGGGACTGGGAAACTAAAATAGAGATTACTTAGTTCTGTAGTACAATTTTCACAAGATAATGCTTGTGATAATAAATGATATTTTTAAAAAGCAGAAGTTAAACTACCAATTTCATTCGTTCTCTCATACAACCACATAAGTGATTGAAATGATTACTCTGATATACAGCAATTAATTTAAACTATATGAATCTGAAACGAGTGTCTCATATAAGCACCAGTGTAAGTGTGGGGGCAAAATGTGAGTAAGGAATCATGCTCAGAATTATAGCTTAATGCCATTCCTCACAGCAGTTCCAGCCTACAGTACAGTTTCTGCTTTACTTTTTCCTACCAGCTGAAGCAAGTGGCAAGGAAGGTCCCAAACCAGTTATTAGAGCCCCTTGCATTATAATCACTGTGGTATACTATGGTATGGTACAAGACAAAACTTTCTCTCTAGCACAGGGCCCAATTTATCTCATTAGCAAAGGCAGCCAAATATATTCTAAGCAGAAGAGTTTAATAAACTGCTATGTATCTATATGAATATTTGAAAATACTAAACTTTAAAGTTCAGGTATGGATATATACTTGGGTAAATACTTGGGATTATTTTTTTAAAATTTGTTGCTCAAAAAAGCCTTTAACCTAAACATTATTTAATATCACTTTACTCTTACAACAAGTAGCCAAGGAATTTCCAAGGTGAATACTTTTCTACATTACAGAAATTTTATCTTCAAATTTGAGATAACCATAAGTCATCTATAAAGACAACTGAAATGAAAGAAAGGATCACACCAAACAGCCACTAAGGTATTTTTTATTCTTTACAAATATTTATTTGAACAGTTAAAAAGTATCCAGGCCAAAATATTCAATGGATTAAAGTCAATGGTAGTTGTCATTAATATTCTGAAATTGATAAGTTGTTTATGTCTGGCATTCTTCCTGCTGATTATTCAGTGAGACAGGCAGCTTTATAAATATCTCATCACTCCATCGTCACACAAATTTCATCGACAGTGCTCATGCACAGCTATTAGCAATATGAATCTAACCATTACAAGAGGAAGGAAAATCGAACATGTGGCATTAATACGCAGTCCTGGTTCCTAACCATCTGATAGGCAGATGGTGTAAAGCGGATTCTCCAGATGAAATGAAGGGGCACATCATTTAAAACCTTGTTTGCATTCTAACTGATATCAGTGCCATATTGATATACATGATACATCATGGCAGTATTTGAACAATCTAGTTTGTTTCAGTCATAAATGTTTACAGCCTTGTTTTTTATCTTTAGAAGCATGTTCTGAAGAGCGTATTTTTAATTTATGAAACCTATTGTTTACTTCTGTTGAACCAGAAGATTAGCGAAGAGCAGGAATATTAAATTACCACAACCACAGCAGTATAACTAAGATGGATGAATAAGGTATGTTTTTTCAATAAAAGATGTTAGTAAAGGAATTAAAAAATTAGCCTAGACATTTTATGCATTAAATACATTTATTCATTTAAACCTTACAGCTTTTTTCCCATGTGACATACTTAGAACTTTAATGCTTTATAAAGCTATTCATTTAAATCTCTTACTGCGTGCAATTAATCTTGTCCAACAATTTAATTCAGAAAGCAAAACATCAGAAAGTAAAGTTCAATTCAACCATCACACTTCTGAAGTAATCTCCGTATTGCTGACAGTTCCTATAGACTCATCAGCAAAAGTCTGTTCAAGGTGTCTTGTAGGAGCCATATGAATTTGAATTACAGCTCAATTGAAAGCTCTCCAGGCTTTAGTAGGAACGCAGGAACAAGAAGCAGAACACTAAAAGAAAGCGTGAATGATCCTTTCCTACAAAGACCTTCTCTCTTCTGTCACTAGATTACTTTGGCCTGTTGGGTGTGTTTGTAGCTGTTAATTATGTTAATAAAGTTGCAGCCTGCTGCCTCTGCCAAATATAATCATAAGCTTTCTCCTGCCAAGTTCTAGTCTAATTTACACCATGCAACTCTACTGAAGTCAGAATTTCGTGGGTGAGAATGAGACCAGAAGTATGCCCAATATGTGTGGCCTCTAATGCTGAAAAATGAGTGAATGGAACTGAAAACAATGACAAAAAACATAGCATCTTCAGAAAACAATTCTGTTTTAAAAGCAAATTGCCGGAGAGAGCTGTCATATATCATGACATATTTTCAAAATGTGTATGAATTACCAGTGGGCACTAAATCACATCCAGGGTTTCTGCCTTCCAACAAATAGTATTCCCCAACTTAAAGCAGATTTCTTAAAACTTTCTGTTTTAATGGCATGAGCAGCTTACAATACACTCTATTTGTGAAGGAAAAAAGAGAAGGACCTATGAGTGTAATTTTTTCAGCCTCAAATATGTCTCAAAATACACATCTTTGAATTGTGTGCCTAAATTTGGTCCTGGGACAACTTACAAAATTATTTAAGTAATTGATCTTAATCCACTTTTAACTTCCTTCACATAACTATGCTTAACAGTAATTATAATTCCTAGTAGTTATTCCAATAAATAATTAATAACTTCCTTAACATAACTATTACCTTCCTTTAT